TTTGTGGGATCTAAAGAAACCCTTTTAATTTAAACAAAGAAAGAAGAAACATTGGCGCAGAATAATCTGGATCCATTTTATTTCGTTGGTTCTCATCAGCTGCGCACAACCTGAATTTTGTTTTTTTTATTAAAAATAAAAAAGTGTACAATTTTAACAAACCTTTGTCCATTAGCAAGCATAGTGTCAGAGTGTCATAGTAAAATAAGGCATTGAGATATACAGGGTGTCTAAAGTGTCACGACATATATCTTGGTAGAGAGAAGTTTCTTGAAAAATTAGTTAACAGTTGTGTTGTTAGGGTGGTAACAAAAGACAATTAGCAATAGTTACGTAATTAGATAAGAGAAGATCAAAATTTTAAAATTACGGTGCACATGAGGTCAGATGAGAAGTTGATGATGTAATACAGTGAGTAGAACTCAGAAGATCAAGAAAAATTATCTCTTAAGAGAGTCAAGCGAAACATAAAGGGGGGGGTTGGAGTGAAAAGATAAGTTAACAAAATTAACAAAATTAGAAAACAAAGAGTTACTAAGAAGTGAGTTACCAGGGTAATTGAAGTCCAACAACGGATTCTTTTTGGACACATAAGTCAGGCTTCAATCGTTTCATTGCTATAGCTTCAGTAAACCTAAGAAGACGAGGTACTTTGTCTGTTAATTATTTTGAATGATTCCAGCACATCTACTCGGTGTCCTGATTCAATCAGGTGTTTGGCGATTGAAGAGCTTAAATAATTCGGTCCTTTTAACCGGAGGCTCCTTGGTACACGTTCGCAGAATCTGACGTAGGCCCTCCTCTCTGTTCTTCCAATGTAACTGCTCCCGAAGATACATGTGAATTGGTATACACAGTTGGAGGTAACATGTGAGGGGTACTTGTCAATCTTTGACTGCACCAGTGAAGAGGTTGTTCGGGATAGAGAGACTAATAACACTTCAGGATACGTCCTAGACAGAACTGCGCTTAATCTTTTACTTATCATTCTCATAATGTCGTCGCCCTTGTAGTCGAGTTTGATGAAAATAGGCTTCTTACTGACTGTAGCAGTATCAAGCTTCTTCAGTTCATTCTTGCCATATTTGTTGATGAAACTTTGTGGGTAACCATTTTCTTTCAAGCATTTTTTAAGAAACATTAGGTCACTGTCTAGTTTGTTTGGTGAACATATTCTCTTCGATCTAGAGAAAAGCGTTTTCACCAGCGTTCGTTTTAGTTTAGACTATTTAAACATCGATACTTTGGTTGTCATTAGTAGTCACTCAGTTGTGTTTTTTTGGCTTGGTGAATACTATTTTGTTTCCCTGATATCCACTTTATTGTGCTAGGAGACGTAACCCTTATTTCAGTAATTTTTGTTCTTCCCACTGATTGACTGGACCAAAATATTCGGCATCTGTTGATATGTTTCCACGATGTCAAAAGATTAACATGGTGTTATTTGGTCGATGAAAATTTTATGAATAGCGCCTTGGCTTATGTTAGGGCGCGTGCTTAGTTCATGTCTCAGTACTAACATCATGATACACTAAGTTTTGCAGATATGTCCCGTTGATGAGTCCCAAATAGAAGGAAATGCACCTCCTGGATTCCACTGCTAGTCACTATCGATCAGATAGACGCCAACTTTGTCAGAGTGATTTAAATACACATTTTAGTAATTTTACAGGTTAGTCCCTATGAGGCATTTTACCCAGAATACTACTTCCTTTTGCCTGCAGACACGCAGAGTTGATCAGCTACAATTCTTATTTTATTATTATTATTGTTCCCTTGGGTTCCTAGTGGAACATAGGGCTTCAACTGCACGTCTACACTTGCTTCTGTCTTCTGTTGTACTTTCCACTTGCATCCATGTCAGTCCATACTGTTTCAACTCCTCCTCACACGATCTCCTCCATATCACCCACACTTGGACGTCCCACACAAGCCGCCTCCCTTTCGGGTTCCAATCGAGTGATGGCCTGAAGCGCGACGTCAAGCAGCGGCTTCCTCAAAGAGTGTCCAATCCATCCATCTCCACTTTCTCCTGCATATTTGTTGAGTGATTGATTCTTGTTTTGTTTGTTCCCATAGTTTCTTGTTGGTTCTTGTTCTTTCCGGCCATCTGATCTTCAGTATGGAGCGAAGACAGTTGTTGATAAAGGTCTTCAACCTGTTGGAAATATTCTTTGTGACCCACTGGCCAAGTTTCTGATCCGTATAAAAGAGCTGACTGAATTGACGTTTGTATTGGAAATCCGAATTTCGTTGTTGATGCTGAATGACGAAGACTTGCAGATTGGTTTCAGGTTGATGAATGTGTTTCTCGCCTTCTTGATTCTCGATTTGACATCCTCGTCCGTTCCTTCTGTAGTTGAGACAATGCTCCCTACCTAGATAAGTGAATGAAGTAACCTCTTTCAAATCCCTCCCGTTGATGGTGATTGGTGCTGGATGTTGCTGCTGTTGTTGTTGATGAGCTACAAGCTGTACTATTTTTCAGGAAGTACCTTGGGATAGCATAAGTTATATATATATATATATATATATATGGGAATATGTAGTTAGAACTTATCATAAAAATTCATGCCGCAGTTCGCTTCTATCCTAACAAAGCTGACTTTCTTCTAAACTTTTGCACTCAATTTAAAATGCACTGGAGTTGTCTAATTAACATATGATCTAAACTAGCTGTGTTAAATGAGTCCTACACAAATCATCAACAGACAGACTTCTTTCCGAACAGTTCTGAAGAAATCTGTTTACATCAATTTGCCATTCAAAGGAGATGATGTACAGGAAGTAGTCAAACGAATACTCGATAAAGCTATCGAGAGAACTTCTTATGCTGCAAAACTTGTTATCGTTAACACAACCAAGCGTGTGCTTCAACAGTCTGTGAAAGACCAGTCGCCAATCCTCTACACTTCAGGCTGCGTATATCAATTTGAGTGTGTTTGTAGGAGCAAATACATAGGTCGTACAGAAAGGCGATTATTGTCTACTCGCATGATGGAGCATTTGCCAAAATGATTGAAAACAGCTGAATGCAAACTGCCATAAACCTCAATAAGAAAGCATCTTGTGGACTATGGACATGATATCGACGCTGTCAAGTCATCCACTGTTATTGTCAGCAGACAAAGAAACAGGAAGATGCTTGCAATTGCAGAGGCTTGTGCAATTCGAGTTTATAAAACAGGTCTCTGTGTACAAAAGGAGATGGTCGTGGCTCTGAATCTACCATGGTAATACGTTTTACTTATTGTTCTACCTCTTATTACTAGTATTATTCTTGATTCATTTAAAACTATCCTTTATCAGTAGCATTATCTTAACTCATTTCAACATTATTATTATTATAACTATTATCATTGATATTATTCTGTTTGCAATTCTTGATATATTCTCTAATGACTAATTGTTTATCTCAGTGATGCAATTGAAGAGCAATGCATTTTATCTTAATTTCAATCTCTCATACTCCTTTCCCCTTATCTATTCGAACATGACCTGGAAAGCATTCGCACCTGTCTTTCTGCATGACTAATTCAATTTAGTCTATTTGCTTATCAGTCTTATGTCTCCCAATGTAATTTCAAAAGTATGTATCCGTGTATGTAGAGTATTCAGCTGACGAAGTCTACCGAAATTTGATGAATCCATCATTAAATTCTGCTTTATTAACCTTTGTTGCTTGTTTTAAATTCGTATCAAGAAGTAAATGTTTTCAGTTAGAGAACTTTTGAAAAACCAAAGGGGAGTACCGGAAAGCTGTTTCGTCAGCCTAGTTTTCGACCCTTCAGAAGTATGCGCTCACCACAGCGAGTTCGAACTCAGGACACTTTGGTTACAAGATTAGCGAACTCGTAGACCATTCGTCAGCCACTGGGAGCCGATCCATTGGCCAATTCATGAATTCCAACTTGTGCCAATTCACGCACGACATAACGCGACCACTTCTCTATGTTTTGTTCGATGAGTTCCTGTCTCATCTGCAACCTGCTGTACCCTATTGGTCACGGCTTTCGACTAGAACGCCAGTTTGACTACTTGAATAGGGTTAGTCGCTAGTGAGGAGGAGTAAACCTGTCTACTATAACAGATAAACTGGAAACCACCTATAATAACTTCTTGCTTAACAGGCTTGGATACTATATCTGCTAACAGATTTCAGCATCCCAGTGAAAAAGTGTGTTTAGGGCACGATCTTCTCTGATATTTTAAGGGAAGTAAATAAATATAAGCTGTGTTTTTTAATAAACACTTAAATTCCTAACAGTTCGATATAACAGGATATTAGTTTTGATATTAAAAGAAGGTCACGTGCAGTAAATTCAATCCACAAAACTTTGAGTAACATTTTCCGTGTCTGTTGTGATGTGTACCAAAATTTCTTGAAATCTTTTTCAGGTGGTTTGTTCCGTATAACATTCAGTGATATAGTACGACTAGCTGGATAGCGTTTCGAACACAATTCACTGCATATAATCATATTAGTGTATTTACACAGCTTCGTAATTTTCCCTCTCTCCTGTGTAGGCGCGTTGAGTTATTTCTATCGCATTTGTTTTGTGTTGATCCGATTAACAAAGACCGGATGAATAACTAATTTCTCTCTCTCCGGCGAACTTATATTACTTTTTAATACCTCCACCCTATCACACCTACAAGCAAGTGAAGGCACTGACTGCAATAGCCGAAGTGTACTCAGTCAGATTCAGTATTATTTATATATGTCTGTCAGATAATTTAATTAATAATAAGCTGAAAAAGTGACGCTATCGAATATTTATTCTTTAGATGATGAGCGAAATTTCTACAATTAAATACACACGTGAACGAACACAAAGTGAGAAAGAAATCAAGCTGAAAAAAACGAAAAAGAAAGAAAGCCTCACACACACTGATTTCTTCAAATTAATGATTTTTATTTACTGAGAAAACAGATAATCTAGATAATTATTATTGATCAACAACACATCTTTTATACTGTAAAATAATAATAATCACATGGAATCATGAATGAATGAATAAACTTCATCTGGATGAAAAAGAGAACTCGTGTTCACTGCGTGTAGTAAATGCACGTGAAGTGGATGAACCTGATGTTGAGCATGGGCTATAGTTTCCAGCTGCATAACTTTGACTCGACTCTCTACTTGACCGAGTTTTCTGTGAAGGGTGTCTAGACGCGTAGTGGACATGGTTATAATCAGGATCAGGTCGATATCTGACTGCTTCACATGTCTTCCAACTGCCTTTTGAACTGATAAACTGTCTTCTTTTTTCTGATAATCTGTTAAAACAATAAAACAAATAGAGAAACCATTATTATTATATTATTGTTCCCTTGGGTTCCTAGTGGAACATAGGGCTTCAACTGCACGTCTCCAATTGCTTCTGTCTTCTGCTGTACTTTTCACCCGTCTCCATGTTAATCTATACTGTTTCAGTTCCTCATCACACGATCTCCTCCATGTCACCCTTGGACGTCCCACTACTCGCCGCTTCCTTTCAGGTTCCACTCGAGCGTTGTCCTGACGCTTGATGTCACCCAGCGGCCTCCTCAGCGAGTGTCCAATCCATCTCCACTTTTTCCTGCATATTTGTTGGGCGATTCGTTCTTGTTTTTTTTCTTCCCATAGTTTCTTGTTGGTGATTCCTTCTGGCCATCTGATCTTCAGTATAGAGCCAACGAAGACAGTTGTTGATAAAGGTCTGCAACAGGCTGTTGGAAATATTCTTCGTGACCCGCCGCCAAGTTTCTGATCCGTATAGAAGAACTGACTGACTTGACGTTTGTATTGAAAATCCGAATTCTGTTGTTGATGCTGAGTGACAGCGGAAGATTTCCAGATTGGTTTCAGGTTGATGAATGTGTTTCTCGCCTTCCAGATTCTCGATTGGACATCCTCGTCCGTTCCTCCTGTAGTTGAGACAATGCTCCCTAGATAAGTGAAAGAAGCAACCTCTTTCAAATCTCTCCCGTTGATGGTGGGAGAGATACCATACTCTATAAAATTAACGCCTTTAATAATAAGAATACGTCAGTCACTTTTACCACATCATAATTAATAATAATCACAGAGGTCAGATGTAGCGATAACAGCAGCAGAAGTCTAGTGGCAGTTGCAGATTTTATTATCTGATATTGGTAACTTTGATGACTGTTTGTGGGTCAGCTGTTCATTTGAAATAGTGACAATTTCAAAAGACGATGTGGCAAGAATGAGTTAGTGCACTTTACCATGGAAACTGGTTGTCAACACTTATTTAACAGCTTTATTACCCTCCGGAAGAAAATTTAAGAAAGCGGATGCTTCTATGTCAAAGTGAAATTTAACAGTGCGCGTTTTGGCTTTTGACCTTAAGTTGAAATGCATAGAAGCATCTGAGGCAGAAATGTTGCTGATTTATTTTATTCACTTCAGAAATTTGTATTCACTTATGACTATTGTAAGTCAGCCTAAATGGGTGGAATGCAAAAGAAGCAACGTCCTTTACCTAACTATCTACCTACCTACCTAAGAAGCATCGTTTCAACTACAGGCAGACGGAACTGATGACGATATCATCAAAGTGAGGATCGGGAAAGCAAGGCAAGCTTCCATTACTCTCAAGTCTATGTGGAGGTCAGCAGCACCGCTCAGCATGAAAATATAAAATCCGAACTCTTAACTCCAATGTGAAGTCAGTAGTACTCACCATATGGATCAGAGACTTGGCAACACGTCACGAAGGCCACTTCCAACAAACGACACACATTCATCAACAGCTGTCATCAACAGCTCAATACTGCTCAAGATCGGATGGCCGGTCAGAGAAGATCAGCAGTAGTATGAGGGATCTCTGGCAATCAAAGAACCAACCAACTCAATAGGAAGCGATTGTGCAACAAATATCCAGGAAGAATCGGAGGTGGATTGGATTGGCCATACTCTAAGAGAACAAACCATCGAGTGAGTGATATCACAAGTCAGGCCATCGCTTGAGTGGAACCCTGCCGAATGTGAAGAGGCGACTTGGTTGTCAGTGTGAGAGTGACATAGAAGAGGATGAGGTGATGTGAAGAGGAGATGGAAGCATGTGGGTAGGCGTGTCGCCAGGTGGAAACGTTGATGGAGAAGCGAAAGCAATGGAGACGTGTGGCTGAATGCCTATGTTCCTCCAGGAACTAAAGGAGACAATAATAATAATATGACTTATGTAAAATATCTTGACCCTCAGTACTAGAGTGGGTGGAAGCATTCCGATGGTTGATCTTCTAACAGAAGTAATCATTGTACCAATTACACTGTTGATTTACTAATCATTTAGGAAAGTAAGCGCTGATCAGAACAAAGTATGTAAGTGTCAAACCGTAGGGAAGACCACATTACTTTTCTGGGAATAATACGCATTTTCCATGAAAAGGTAACTTTTAGACTAAATATTGATAGCCTGTAGAAAAAGCCCAAGGGCACATTTGAGTTTTGAGAGAAATAGTGAATATAACTGTCCTGCAGACAAGTGAACACTAATTATTTCAAATTTACACACAGCTTCAAGATTTGAAGTTTCAGTAACAGTGATGTGAAATTGTTTCCGGGCTTATCATCAGCTAGGCGAAGTTTGGCAGAAACACTGTCTTCTGAGAATCAAACTCGAACCTTCCGCAGGACTAACAAGCATTCCATCATTCAGTCACTGTCAAACAAACCACTGGCTCTGGAGAAGAACTAGACCTCGACATTCACGCCGACAGCATGACGCTGGAACGAAGTGATTTACGGGGCGTGAAATGGGATACGAATCTCTACAAGGAAAACCTAATAGAACAGAAGCTCATAAGCAATGAATACTGTATTAGAATCCCGTTATGTAACAACATTGCTAACTTAACGCCCACTTGAATTGAACATTACTAGAAGCCGATCTGCATTTCAAGTTTATGAAAATGAAATAAAAATAAATATTTCAATTCTGCTTATACTTACCCAGTGCTAGAGCTCGGCAGTTGACTTGAGTACGGCCGAAGAACAGGAACTGAGCTCCTTGGAATAGATTCATCCGAAAACTCATAGTCAAATGAACTACGACGATTGCCACCGTCTAAATGAGATCTCAAAGTCAAATCAGGCGGTTTATTTGTTTTGTGTTTATTTGAATTGTAATACGGTGCAGAAAATGTATTCTGTGCCTGTGACCTGGTTGACTGATTTGTATATCCATGTTCAAACTGGGGTACAGTATCATTCATCTTGTAGTTTAAATGCTGTGATTCAGATTTTTCAATATAACGTTTGGATGGCGCGTAGTCATCGTTCACTTTCGCAGGAACACGTCGTGATCGACCAACTTGGCTTGTTACACTTTCTATCGGGAGCATGCTTTTCGGTCCTTGAGACTGTGAGTCAATCTGAACCAAACCGAGTTGAAATGCCATAAGTTGTCGTTCTAATTCATCTTTTTCTTTTGTAATTCTCATCAGTTCACATCTAGCGACAATTGATGAAATTAAAGTGAATACACGTACAGCAGTGTGAATATTATTTAACTACATACTTTTTGACTCAAATGAACTGTCGTCAAGATTTGACAGAATAGTTCTAAAATATTTAAATTAACAAAGAAACTGTGTAATTGGAACAATCATCGTGTTTTCACTCGCCGTTGTCTGCAAACAGAATAATGCATATCCTAAATCCGTAGCTGTCGAGTCACCTGACAACTCCAGTTGGTCAAATAAAGAGCAGCTCAATATTCAGAAAGAAGACAAGGCAATAGGTCCAACAGGGTGCTTCTACTAAACTCTAATCCTAAACACCATAATTTTGAAAATACGTCTAATCATAAAATACTGACAGTTTGAACAGACATGAAGGCGTGATGTTATCTGGTGCATAGGAAATCCTGATTATTAAATAAAAAACGGATATGTATCACTAATTATTAATACTTGGTCAAAATTCTCAACTGTCTATATCTTCTTATGGAGACGTTAAGAAATGTTTTACAACTGTTTACCCACACACACACATACACACTCTGTTTAAAGTGTTTAACAAAGGTAGACCAATATTTGTAAGTCCGAGGTCAAATTTTGATCACAGCTCATAAAATTCTGTTTATTATACTTGTTGGATGACTCATGATTGGACAAGGTTTAAAAACAAGTGATGTTCCTTTTATATATAAACCTCTGTTATGTTAATTTTGATTAATTTCCCTGAAGAAGTTCGTATCAGACTGCCGAACGAAACGTTGGAATCACTCATTTCAGTCTCGCTGAGATTTTACAAATATTATATAATGTCTACATACTTTTTGTTTTAAGGATTATCTCTATGTTTGATTAGCATTTTTGACCATCATCCATCTAATTAATGATTAAGAAGTTTGTTAGCTGCCTCACTGTAATTGATTATGTTATTTAAAGCGACAACAATACACACATATTACTCCAGTAATTTGGATAGGGCAATAACTTAGATTCCTCATTTCTCACAAGCAGTAAAACAATAAAAATCTAGATTTAGTTTTCACAGACTCTCTGCTCTAATCATTGATGGATCCGATTTTGTAACACATAAAATTCATTTAAGAACTGTTCATTTTTATTAAATAATAATGCCAATGTAATAAATTAGCCGGACAAATATTTAGTTCGAGCCTTATCCTCATTGAAGGTCTTTGGAAGTACTTTTTGCCAGAATACTACAAGCGCAAAAATCAGAAATGACAGACTGGTGGAGATTTGGAGAAAACATTTGCCAAGTAGAAACAAAATTTGTCAATTGACTGGAACATTACACTTATAATAAGCTGTTATTAGGTTTTCTACCCGTATAGCTTTGATTTCTAAAATTTTTAATAGTGTAAAATATTCACATATCATGAATTAAAAGTCAGTCTGCACGAAGAATATTCTTCTCAATAATTTCTCCTCTTCAGGTTCTTACAATTATTAAATATAATATTTGTTGTCGTATATGTCTATCCTTCAGTAGCCGTCCAATGTTCACCCAGCAACTCAAAGATGTCCCACATAACTTTAGCCCTTCTGCATGCATATACCATTTCAGCTGTTCCTGTGATTCAAGTTATATACGGTGCACAATTAGGCAGGTTCGTCTACGGGTTCGAGAACATGTACCAGCTTGGTTCAGCAAGGGGGAAATTAAGTGCATAAGCAACTCGATCCCATAACACTTGGTCGGTACTGGACGTAGCATCGACGTTAACACCGGTTTCAGGGTCATATATTGAATTCCGAAGTCGTTATCACGTACAGTTCGCTTACGTATCTTACATTACTGAAGCTGTTGCAATAAGATCGACTAGACCAGAACTTTGTATCCAAAAAGAACACGTCCAGACACTATCTACCCAGGGTGCAACTAGAATTGATGATTCTTCTTCTCACCAAGAGTGCTTCTTCCCCTTAGCTCTCTTGGTTTTTTTCTTTGCTTATTATTACAATTATCCTTATTATTCTTCATAATTTATATCCTTCATTCAAACATTCTGTCAGTGCTATCGAATTTTTCATTTATTCTATTTGGACTGATTATTAGTGATATTATCTCTTTTCTCAATATGTGCCTCCACCTGTTTCATTTCAAATATTGGTTATTTCATGATAAGCTTATCATTGCAGTCTTACTATCTCCTGTTTAATACACACCGCTTTCTACTAGCCACTCACCTGACACCTTTTATAACCTTAAACTTCCTTGTCAAATTTTCCTTCCTGACATTCTACGAATCTGTTATGACAAATCACCACCACTGTCTCCCGTTTTACAATATTTCGTAATCGATTTCAGCCTAGCACGTTTGTCATACAAATACGACTATTTATGTTTACACCCCAAAACCAATCTGTTACTGTACGTGAGAAGTGTGTCTTCCGCATAACCGGCAACAATTGAAACGACAACCAATATTATATTTTATAATTGTAAGAAGCTGAAAAGTAGAAATTATTGAAAAGCATATTCTTCGTTCAAATTGAGTTTTACTGTTATGAAAGATTGTATCAAAAGAGCTATTCGTTGTAGGGTTGATAGTGTTTGACATTAGATTGTAGATGTCCTTTGTAAAATTGTACGGTAAGATTGCTTGTCTAGTGGAGTTCTGTTTTCTCCTCTTACACTACTCAGCCAACAGTGATATTTAGAAATTCCATACAAAGGTAGGAAAGATGACGTTCAATCAAAAAAAGATTAAATGGATACCTTGTAACCCTAGGGGTTTAAATCAGTACTCAAAAATTAACACAGTCGTCCAGCCTTCTCCTTAAATGCCGTTACCTCTCTTATATAAATAGAATCAAACTAAAATAAGCAGGTATATATATATAGCTTTTTCTGGCTTTGAAGAAGCCAGTATTCTCTAAATTAACTGTCTTGTTTCGCTGAAAGTTAGTCTTACGCTTAAGGGAAAGTTAAGCATTGCATTACCGTAAGATGAAAATGTCTTTTTTGACTTATCAGTATGTGTGACACAATTGTTCTTACAGACTTCGCACTTAGCCAGTGTACACTCTTTAAAGTAAAGTGGTTAAAGTTACTTGAAGTGATAACGAATTTTAATCATTGAATATGTCCACCTCGATCATTTACGTGGGCTGTAAAAGAAACAAAACTAAGCACAAGGACATTTGCTCTTAAATGCTATTCACATATTAGAAAATTCCCTTGTTATTAATATTGTAATTTATGGCTTTTCAACTGTCGACTAGTAGGCAGTGAATTAACTCATTTTTGGGATGGTTATTTAGCGTTATTTAAGTCTGATGAACACTACACCTGTCAACATTTCACTGCATCAGTGTTCTTAACAAGCATCAAAATGATTGCTTCAGAGTATTTACGAGTTGAAATTAGAATCTATCTAAGGTTATTTCACATTTTCAGCGAAGAAAATTTTCTTTATCGACGAAATCATCTTCACAGGTTGTACTCTATAGTCGTGTTTGTACTTACCGAAAATTTATAGTGGTCTATTAGTGAGGGATAGGGGGAGGGGGGACATAATTGACATAATTACTCAGAAGTGGCTTTAGAATTAAAAAATAAAAGTTATAAATTATGTAGTACTCAATGTCACAAAGGAAGAAAGAGTTAGAAATTTGATAAGGTTAAAATTGCTATTGAGTGAGAGAGAATAAAGGTAGTTGAGTGTCAATTTAACAAGTGTAAAGAGGCTGTGAAAATGTACAAAAGCAGCATATGAGAGTGATAATAGTGAATTAATTATTAAAGCAAAAGCAAACAAAGAGCAAGATTAAAAATTACAAAAGAGAAAAAAATCAATATTTTTTTAAACAGGGAACGATTAGTGAGAAGGTTAAGACCAAGGTAGAATAAGAGACTGGACAAACTTCTTCTGTATACAGAGTTCAGGGTTGTGTTGATTAATTGCCAGCGCCTCCGCCATAAACAAAAGCCGAAACCTGACGCCCTTTGTGCCGTTTGGCTTTACTTTGTAGATGATCTTGAAATGCTACCCTGGTGGAGCTACGTGGCTTGAGTTCACCAAATGCTCGAGAATTGAGTTAGCAATTGTCTTACTTTGTCCCTTTGCTAACGATGCCGGATAATGTTCAGAGATGCGTTTGGAAAGCGTGCGCTTTGTTCAGCCAATATAACTAGCTCGTGTAGAGCTAGTTATTTTTTAAATTAAATTATTCAGTTAAATTTTTTTTTTTAATTTTAAATTTTACTTTTAGTCTGTTTTTGCTTTAATAATTAATTCACTATTATCACTCGCATATGTTCGTTTTATACAATTCCACACCCTTTTCACACTTGTTAAATTGACACTCAACTACCTTTAATCTCACTCACTCAATAGCAATTTTAACCTATTGCATTTCACATTATAATTATTATTTTATGCATTCACACCTATACGATTGTACAGCTTGATGATAAATTCGTTGAAAAGAGTCTCTTCGCTGAATCATTTGTTTTGATTTTCTAAATTTTAACCTAATCAAACTTCTAATGTCTTCTTCCTTCGTGCCGTTGAGTACCACATAATTTACAACTTTTATTATTTTTTACTTCGAAAGCCACTTCCGAGTAATTACATCAATTATGTCACCCCCTATTACTCAATAATAGACTATTATATCTTTATGGTATATATAAATACGACTGTACAGTACAGCCTGTGAAGATGATTTCGTCGATAAAGAAAATTTCCTTCACTGAATTTGTCTGTTATTACATTTCAAAATCTGGATGATGCTAGGCACAATAAAAGCAATCATGCATATGAATTAAGTGATACGATGGTAAATATTTCTAAATCTATATATATATATATATATATATGCTAGCAGCTAAGCTTCACCTACGAGAAAAAATGTATATTTATGTTGTAACCAGAGCCTAATTAACAGAACAGTTTGATGGAAACCACTGTTGTTCGGTGGCAGCAGGTAGTTCCAGATCTTTATGGATAATTTGCAGAGCCTTTACTAGAA